ACCCACTTATCCATGAAACTTCGACCAACTCTGCAGCACTAGTGTATGCTAGCCATACATAACGCTGGACCATATAGACTTTTGAATATCTGATCCTACCCAATGTCCCTAATCAAGAATAGAACATAAGGCTAAATCAAACATTCTCAGGCTATAAGATCTTAATTATGTATAACCGTGATGCACACACTAAACAACTACAGTAATGATGTCGATCCCATACAAGGAAACCCTAGGCTAGCAGGCATCATGTAATCAGGCAATTCTATCATGCAATTCTATAAGATCCCTAGCCTAGTAATAGCATGTTGTTCTAATATATCACAAAATCAAATAACATTATGGTATTTTAGGGTCTACTTACTGGCTCCGGCTGATCGTACGCTTCACATCCTCTTTTACTTATTTTGAAAAAAAAATTAAAAATGTTATTTCAAAAATCTTTCCCTGATTTGAGACTGGATTCACACGAGTGTTCCTCCAATTCACTCAAACCAAGGCTCTGATACCAACTTGTAACACCCATAAAACTCATGCCAAATTTTAATCTTTAAAAACTTTTCAAAACCATTAAAATCATTACAAACTTGTTTTCAAAATGTATCATATCAAAGTTTTCCCAGAAACACAAACAAAACAGGATGAGTTGTACGATCACGTCTTTTCCTTGTCGCGATCCCCTGATGTACCTGAAACAATAAACTAAAACTGTAAGCCTGAAAGCTTAGTGAGTTACCCCTAAAATACCAACTCATATAACCATAAGCATATCATATCAACAATTACAGAACAACATGCATAATGAGCCTTCATCCTTACTGGACCGCCTCGCAGGGCCTATAGCCTATCTTGACCGCTCCCAAGCCTTCGTCATGACTGAACTGTCTCGCAGGGACTACAGCCTATCCGGACCGCTCGCCGGGTATGTTGGCCTACAGAACAAAGCAAGACCGCCTCAACCCAACCCCCCCAAGCAAACAACATGTGCACATAAATATCATACGCTAGCTCATATCATATAACAGACAACTCGATCTAACAGATCACTAATCATAGCAACATCCCAAACACTGGGATACAGAACTAACCGGTCACTAACATAGCATCATCCTATAATCAGGACACTGACCTAACCAGGTCACTAAACATAAGCATATCACCATTCCAACTACTAGGACGAAAACGATAAAAATATCATACCATAAACTGGATACAAATCCATACAGGGTCGGCCTTGGTGCCTTAGACCCTATTTATATAGTGAGGATAACTCACCTCACAACTGTCGACTCGAAATGATAAGCTCGAACTCTCGGATCACTGCCACAAACCTCACCACCTATTTCCACCATAGAACCATATTCATAAGTTCTCAAATTCCCAAAATGCCCCCAAAAATCAACTAGTCAACCCTTGGACAGAGTCGAGGTCAACAATCAAGGTCTACTGAGTCACCAAGTCCCTTGCAATCTTCATCAGACTCGCCGAGTTGACCCTCCAACTCGTCGAGCCCCTTCAGTCCTTCATCCAAACAGCCATACTAAGGTTCCATATTGTAGATCTAATTCCCCAAGGCATGTTAATCACGTGAAATTGCAAACTTTACGTGCATGCAAGGCTCTAAAGACTCCAAATGATAAAACCAAGCTTGTAATGGAGTTTTGCACCAAAGGGAAGTTTTATACTTGCAAGATCTGGAAGCTTTATGGATTTAGAGCCCCAGAGAGCTCAGATCTGAAGTTGCAACTTCAGATCTTATCTCATGCACAAGAAAAGCTTCCAAATCAGTTGAGAAAACCCTAAACTTCACCCAAATGAGATTTAGAAGGGAAAGAGGTCAAGATAATGAATTGATACCTTCAATTGATGCTAAACCGAGGTAGATCTCTGATTCCCACACGTTCCTTGCTTCAAGCCACTTGCTCTCCAGTCTCTTCTCACCAAGAATCATCTTCCAAAGCTTAAAACACACAATTGGAGCACACACACATATTAGGGTTTTCTGAGCTCTCAAGGGACAGTAAGGAGGCCAAAGGAGGCTAATGATCCCTTAAATAGGGTGAAAACCCCGGAAATTAGGGTTTCATCCTCCAGCTCCTACTCATCGAGTCCTACCTTGGACTCGGCGAGTAGGTCACTTAAACATGTGGACTAACTCGCTGCTACTCGACGAGTCAGGACACCCTACTCGTCAAGTCCACCTTGAAACCATGAAAATTTATAACCAAAAAAATCAATACCTGAGAATCGGGGCGTTACAACTTGCCAATAGGGCTTGAGTGACCTTGAACTTTTCAAGTCTTCGAATATCTGGGTCAGGGAGAATTATTGGAGGAGGTGGAGGAAGTGAAGTATGATTTCCTTTTCCACGATCCAATCGTGGAACATCATCATCATGAGGAAAGCTTTTTCTGAAAGATTCGGGAAGACCATAGTTGTCTGAACTAGACATCTATAAGGGAGAAATTCAAGTTAGTTGATTTAAGTCCTTAACATAACACCCAATGAAATATTAAGGCTAGGACCTGACACAATAATTTACAATTCGGAAGAGGGATGCAGTAATCCAATTGCAAACTATTTGTCGGTATGTAAATGACGATTTACCAATTCCACCACGAAAACAAAATTTTATAAACGAATTAGGTTTTAAACGAAACTCCTATATCTTTTGAGATTCATTGAACTTTTCAATGGCATGTTTAATCTCGATTATGCCCTTCAAGTTTATGACTGGGATACTGAGGATCACAAAAAAGGTGTGAATAACCATACAAATTAGCTTGGTACGCTCGATGTCATTTATCACCTAATCAATGTGCCGGTTAACCACACACGCTCCATTGATCTATGACAAACATCGAGCTACCCTTTGCCACCCTTACTAGTCCAAGTTAGTGTGCCGGCTAACCACACATGCTCCACTAACGAATTGGCAATGTGAAAAGTGCATTTTCATGGATTAGCACCAAATTCACATTTTTCCTAAGTAACTAAGATTAGGAATTTATAAAACATTTAGTTACTTGGTATTTCATTATACTTTTAATGATAATTTGTGTCCTATCCTACCCGTTCGGCTAACGACACTCCACTAGTCAAGGAAGCGGTGGGTGAGAGTGGACACCCATTCAATCGCCATTTTATACGCAATTTCCTTATACCCCCTTATAGACTAGCTTCGTGAATGAGGCCTACTAACGGTAAGACTGACCTTTTACTTATACATATATAATATATTAAACTTTTAATTTTATATAGTATAAGGGTGTATTTTACACACTTAAAATACTTGGTGGTTTAATCTATTAATAAATTATACTCTTAATTTAATTAAACTTAAACCATGTCATTATAGATTTATTAATTCTCTCTTTTATTTAACCATTTAATTAATTTAATAAACTCAATAAGAGTGTAATTTGAACTATTCAAAAGACATCAAGGTTCTAAACATAAAATTGAGAATTAAAACTATTTAATTAACTTTAAGTTATGAAACCAAGAGTTGCACCTTTTAAAACATTTCAATGTTTCATAAATGAGACTTTTCAACTTTCAAAACTTGAGGGCAAGTTTTGTAACTCTTGAAAACCTTTTGGATTCCAAACTTGATGGAAAGTTTTGTAACTCCTTAAAAAAATCTTCTGAGTTCCAAAACTTGATGACAAGTTTTGTAACGTCTTAAAATATTTAGATCAAATTTTAAACTAATAAAATAACCATAATTTTATCTTTTATTAATTTGACCTAATGCAATTCTTATAGCAAGATAACTTCAAATCAAAGAATTACAAACAATTAGCTTATCATATAAACTAGTAATTATTTCAAGATTTTGGAAACGAGTTGTTTTATTCAGAATAAGAATTTAAAGACGAAGATGATGGGGACGAATATTAGGAGCATTATCTTTTGTTTATGTTAGGAGCAATGTATTTGTTGATGTTAGGAGCATTGTCTTTTTTTAAACCTTATAATGAAACATTGTTTTTGTAATGAGTTTGGTATGGACATCTCGCTGTTTTAAACATTTGTTTTGTCTTGACTTATGAATCTTATATTATATATCTGACCATTCTTGTTCTGTTCAATGCAGCATGTCGGGTAATGGACGGAAGGATAAAGCCAAAAGAACTGTTGGGTTTTAAGTACTCTAACATACCTATGGTGCACATACAACCCTAATGATTTGGATCTAAGTTTTATCTAGTTATACATGCAATAAAATTATCCAAAGCATGATGCCTAAAACTAACATACGATTTGATATTCGAAACATAAAAACAAGTTAGTCAATTACCTCTTTGTTGTAGCTTGTAGAGGTTGGCCTTTCAAGAGCTTAGAACCTCAAATGTGATGCCTCTAATGTGTCACAAACACCATCAACAAATGGAGGACTTGAGAGAGAGGTTCTAGGCACCAAAATTGACTATAGTTTCTCTAAGAAGACTAGTGTATACGATTTTAGGCCAAGGGGTTACATATATATAGTGTTAGAATCCAAGAGTCACATGTAACCCCAATTCTTACACTTGTGCTTATGATCCATGAATCATGTGGACTAACTCTTCATGGATTCTTACATAAACTTAGTCCATCATGAATCAATAGCCCAAACCATATGTATCACTAATTTGCATAATTAGTCCCCGTTAATTTAATTAGTCTCTTTTGATCACTAAATTAATTCCAAATCAAATCTTGATCAATACTAATTAAATAATATGATTTCTCCACTAATATATTATACTTATAATATATTAGTAAATCATAAATAACCTCTTTCTCAAATATCCATCCTATCAAATTGCTCTGGTGAAGGCAACCCAAAAGGACCGTGCTACTCTCGGGTCAAGTACATACCAATTATAGTTATGGGCTTGGACACATAATCCAACAAGAACAACCCTTTTTCTGGCAGTAGGGGGCATAGGGGGAGGGCATCCCCTAATTCTACTGACGAGCCACGTCATACGACGTCACTCACACCGATCGACATGTCGATGATCACAGGAGTCGCAGGCTCCAATAGTCAAGGTGTCATTGCTCAGCAAACCAACATGGCTGATCCTCTAGCAGACTTGGTCGGGGTTATGCGCCAGGCTCAACAGATGAGTTATGTGTCCCAGCCCCAACCCCAACCTCGACAGATGAGTCATCGATTCCATCGCTCACATATAGGCTATTGGCCCCCGCCTCCACTTAGACAGACAGGCTATGGGTTCCAACCCTCACCCCCACCCCCACCCCCACACCCACACCCACAAAGGGGTTGTCGGACCTCACCTACAATTTTGAGAACCCATGGAGGTGATGGGTTTTAGGATTATTTTTTTAAGGATGGAGACACAGAGTTGCCGGTGCCAGATACACCAGTCGTGCCACACACACCACCGACACCACATGGCTCCGCCTCCATTGGTATTTCGGGTGGTCATGGTTCGAATGCTGGTGATTTTGATGACTTATCGTTGCCCATTATCCATAAGAACGGGGATAAGTTAGTGTTTTCATCTTTTAAAGTTTTAATTTTTGATGTTGTAATTATACTTATATAAGTTTTTTGTAGGTTTGATGGCCATTCTATCCACAACGCGATTATGGATCTCTTTTGGTAGAGAATAGATGATGTGTGGCCTACATATAAGAGCATCACGGAAAAGACTCGTAAACTGATGTTTGCGCGTTTTAGGGTAGTATATTAATTATTTATTATTGTATCTTAAACTCATTTCTTTTTACTTTCTATTTTTAAGTATACTTATTATTTTTTACAGACAAAATATAGGTGGTACACAATGGAGAATGAGGCGATATATACGACATTCAATAATGTCCTCAAGGATAGATATAGGGACATGATGAGGGATTTGAGGAAGTTATCTACCATAGTGTCACGACGTGATGGGCTACCAATTCAAAAAGGTTATTCTAAATATTTTCCTGAGATGTATCAACATCGTCCCCATATGATACCAGAGTCTGTGTAGCCACACTTGTGTGATGTAAGAGATACAATATATTATAGTTTTATTTTGTTGATTTTTATTACTTATTATATTATTAAATATATATGTATTTCTTTTAACAACATTGGAGCACAGAGAAATGGAAAAAGTTGTCAGAAGTTGCTCAGAAGAACCATAACACCCCTGATTTTAATAGGAAGACATCAAGGAATACAGTTGGTAGCATAGGATATGCCGAGCACCGTTGTAACTTGGTTGGTATCATAATTGTAAAATTTATAATTGTTGTTTTGTTTTAACATTGACTGCATCAATTATACTTTGTCTTTTATGTAGAGAGCACAGCTGGGTAAAGATCCAGAATTTTGTGATCTGTACGTGAAGACACATGGCACCAGTGAGTCCAAGAAAAGATATTTCGAGGGAGAACATGAAAATATAGAATATTGCTCAAAAACAGCCAAATATGCAAAAGTAAATTATATTTATTATTTTTTAGATTGACTGTCTCAATTTTTTGTATATGACAATGTTGTTGTTTTGGTAAATTGTAGGATACATATCTAGAGGGGTTAATGATGAAATATGGAGAAGATCCGGCAAACCATAAGGACGATGCGGAGGTATGGGTTGAAAGACAAATTCGGAGAAAATGAGGAAAAAAGAAGGGTCATATCTATGGTATAGGAGCATCAGATGCCAATTTTGTGGTTTTTGGGACAACAACTTCCGAATCTACCCGGTCCATCCAATCCAACAACAACACACAACAAGAGGTACGTTGTTATTATGGATAAAATTGATTAAAAACAAAAGTACATTGTTATTATGGTTTAAAAGTTAGGTAGTTTGTTGTGCTTATGGATAAAATTGATAATAAACAAAAGTACATTCTTATTATGGTTTAAGTCAAGTAGTATTTTGTTCTTATGGATAAAATTGATGAAAAACAAAAGTACATTGCTATTATGGTTTAAAAGTTAGGTGTTTTGTTGTGATTATGGATTAAATTGATAATAAACAAAGTATATTGCTATTATGGTTTACAAGTTAAGTAGTATTTTGTTATTATGGATAAAATTAACTAAAAACAAAAGTACATTGATACTATAGTTTAAAAGTTAAGTATATTGCTATAATCATAAATTATAATACGTTGTTATAATAAACTCAAGTACATTGTTATTATGGTTTAAGTATTGAATTAATTGCATTATCATTTTTTAGGTTGATAGATTGCGTGAAGAAGTTTCTAACATGCGACAATTTCAAGAACAAATGGTACAACAAATGGAAAGGATGATGAGGATGATGAATGTGACGCCAAATCAAGCTCATACTCCACCTCATACTCCACCTGAGGATGGTGTATAAGTTATGCATGTTGGTATTTGGAATCAATGTTTGTTAATTTTTAGTTGGTATGAATGTTGTGACAATGGAACAAAGGAATGTGTCCACTTATTTTGCAAACTTGGTGTATTTGGAACACTTTTTGTGTATTTTGAAATCTTAATTGTAGTGTCATTATGTTTGTGTTTACTTATTTTGCATATTAACAAAAAAACTGGAAATATTTTATATTTAAAACTAATAATTTAATAAAACGACGATTACCGATGGAATACCGACGAAAATGTCGTCGGTAAGCACGCCCGTCGGTAAATAAGTCAATGTCAGTCAAAGGGCGCTCCGTAGGTAATCCGTCGCAATTCCGTCGGTATTTCTTTCCATAGGTATTCCGTTGGTACTATTTTCTGTAGGTATTTTGTCGCAAATGCTTTCCGTCGGCAATCTGTAGGTAAGTAACAGTCGTCGATATTCCGTCACTATTGCTTGTCGTAGGTATTTCGTCGGTAAATTAGCTACGGAAAATAGGTGTCGGTATTCCGTAGGTAATCCGTCGCAATTCCGTTGCTAACAATTACCCACGAGCGATTATGCTACAATACACATTTCGTCACAATTATGTAGGTAAACCCGTATACCTACGGATCTGACCGTAGGTATTTTCAGATTTTCTAGTAGTGAAACATTGCAAATGTGTCATTGTGAAAACGAGTTAAATCTACACAAATGCCAAAGAGAGGGGTGGGGGTTGTTCATCTAGGTTTTCTTATATGTAATGACATTGTTGTTTGAACATTATAATTCTTTTTACTAGCAGGCAAAATTAGTTCAAAATAAAAGTTAATAACTCGCATTAATAATTTTTCAGTAGAGCTGCAAAGTGTTTGTGTCTTTATAGAAACAAAAAACTATAAAGCTAAAAGAAAGATAATATTGTCATTTAAAAAACTAAATTATAAATATTTACAGATTTACAACCAAACATTTTTCTTATTATAAAATAATGGATTTTAATATCATTACAAATACTACCAAAAAAACAACAATTTCTAATCCATTCAATTCCAATCTTTTTGTTGTTAAGAACAATCGATATACACACCCAGTATATTTTATTTCAAAACTACTTATTTTTTTCATTATGAGATTTAAATCCTAAACTCCTCACGTCAATGACACATTTTCAAACACTTTAATACCACCAGACCAAAAACAATATATTATATTTTCAAATTCTTTGAACTTAACTTTCTTTAAAATAGCGTACACTCGATTGAAACTACGTTCTAATAATTGGTAAACTTTCAAGATATAACTTTTCAATAAGTAGAAAACAAAAATACAATATCCTTTAGATAGAAGGGATATTGTAATAAATACACAAGTGAATCACATTTGTTGCTTTTTGCATTTAGAAAATTTTCATCCTTTATGTACACTTTTATGAAATTTTACAAAAGTCGGTCGTAGGAATTAACGCCCAACTGGAAGATGAAACCCTTGGAAGTATGGAGAACATTAATGACCCAACTCACGCCTACTTGAAAAATAGGGAAAATACCGGCAATAGTAAAAACATAGGGGTAATTTCAAAATTCAGACATTAAAATGGATATTTCCAGGTATAGACATGCATTCCGCGGAATCTATTGTAGCTCCGCGATCTTTAGAAAAAAAAAATTTCACATCGTTTCTTCGGGGTTTATATTAATTCAACAACTAATTATTTTCAAGAAAAAGTTATGATAGTATGATAATCTTTGCTTGAAAATAATTAGTTGGGGAATAAATATAAACCTCGAAGAATCGATGTGAAAAAAAAAAAAACTGAAGATCCATTACTCGGAGCTACCTCCGCGGAATGAGTTCATTCCTCGAAGGTAGCTCCGCGGAATGGATCTTGAGGTTTTTTTTTTTAATACACTAATTTATTTACGATTTTGCCATTTCGGCGGAGCCACAGTAGATTCCGCGGAGCTACCTTCGCGGAATCCATGTGTATATCCGGAAATCCAATTTTGTGTGTCTATTTTTTGAAAATATCCCCCATTTTTTTACTATTCCCGGTATTTTCCCTGAAAAATAACTTATTCGTGGTTGAGGAAACAAATAATAGGGGTGAGCCGGATGAATCACCTAATGGGATACTCAATGCATTAGCCAAATCTGGCTGCTTTGGGCCTTTTCCAAACAACATGTATGGTAACAATTTGCATCAGATGAGCCTGAGGTTAATTTCAATAGTGCTCAAGATAAAAGAAGAAGATTAATGAGAAATGACACAGACGCCCTTATCGATTCCTCAGACTCTATGACGCCTCTTCCCTCTCTTGATCTAAACAAAATTCTGATTCCCTCTCATATTCCCCTCCGTGACATCGAGGTAGAATCTCCATCATCGTCGTTGGAAATTAGGAATACGGTGGCTGTGGGAAACATTTTGGGATTTGAGATTGTTGGCAATAACCCAATTCTCAAAGAAGTCCTTGGCGAAAATGGTGAGAATCAAATCATACAATGAATATTATGACTTTAAACATCAGAGGTCTTGGAGAGAAACAAAAGGTAGACTGGGTACGCAGGCTTAGAAGTGTATATAAACTATGTATGATTTGTATTCAAGAATCCAAACCGGGTGAATCATCCCCTCCTATCAACATTACTGAATGTTGGAGTGGTAATAATTGGGGGTTCGAGCAGGTTTTTACCACGGGGAGATCCGGTGGCTTGGTGTCGATATGGGATAAAGGAACATTTACGATTACAGAGACTATCAAATCCAGATACTTTATTTTGACATTGGGTAATTTTGTAGGCATTAATGGCCTCACATGTATTATAAATATCTATGGACCCTAATCAGTACATGAGAAGTCGAAATTATGGGACGAATTGTTATCTTTGAAATCCTCCATATCAGCTACCTAGATTCTTATGGGAGACTTTAACGTGGTTCGAAGATTGGAAGAACGGATAAATTTAGTCTTTTGCCCAGTCAGTGCAAGTGCTTTTAATCAATTCATACACAGGGGTGAACTCACATATCTGAAGATGGGAGGCTAAAGATTCACCTTCTTCCAAACACAAGGAGCGAAATTGAGTAAATTAGATAGAATTTTGGTGTGTAATCGCTTCTCAACCACGTTTTCCCTTGTGTCATGTGAGGCATTAGACAGGGACCTTTCTGATCACTCTCCAATTATTTTGAGGACTCGAGGTGATGATTTTGGTCCACCACCGTTTAAACTTTATAACTCTAACATCTATTTGTCCCATTTATTTTATGCAGCCGACGCTTTATTCATTAGTGATGGTCGAGACACAACATTGCCAACTTAGCGAGAATCTTAAGATGCTTTTATGTTTCATCTGTGTTGAAAGTAAACTTTAGCAAGTCCAGAGTGTTTGGTGTGGGCGTATCTCCTAGTGAAGTTTCGAACTGGTCTAGTCCTCTTGGATGCGAACCATCATCCCTACCATTCACATACTTGGGTATCCCCTTGGACGAAAACATAAACCTGAAGAAAGCTTGGAGACCAATTGTCAAAAAGTTTCATTCCAAACTCACATTCTAGAAAGCAAAAACACTCAACTTCGGAGGCAGATTAACCCTAGCAAAAGCGGTTCTTGGCAGTCTCCCGACCTATTTTATGTCCATCTTTACCGTTCCAAATGGTATTATTGAGACCCTTGAGAAAATTAGGAGGCGATTCATATGGAGCAGAAACCTGGAAAAGAAAAGCATTAGTTGGGTGTCATTGGAAACACTTATTGCCCCAAAAAAGGTGGGTGGTAAAGGGCTTGGATCTATAAAGAGTCTGAACATTTCTCTACTAGCTAAATAGATGTGGCGGTTCAAAAACGAACACACTGCACTTTGGGCGAAAGTTATTCGATGCATTCACGACTTGGATGGGAGACATGGAGCTACTTTTCCCAACAAATTTAGATCGGATGTACGGAAAAATATAGTCAAAAGGATTGCATTAAAAAATTTCAACATTGATTCCAAAGAAATTGTATATTAGAAACCAAATGACGATTGTTGGGCTTCTGACTTTGTGGTTGATAACCTTTTCTCGGTGAGATTGTTACGTGAATGGACTGAAATGGCAAGTTACATTGTCTGTGATGGTCCGTTTGAATGGTGCAAAGTAATACCGAATAAGATCTTATGCTTTATCTGGAGAGAGAAGCTTGGAAGAATTCCATCATCTGTTTCGTTAAAATTAAGGGGTGTTCCAGTTCCATCGACCATTTGTGGATCATGCTACTTGTATGAAGAGACGAGCGATCACATCCTTCTCTTATGCCCATTGGCGAAGGTTTTCATGAAATCGATTTTTATCTCGGTGTGAAATTTCACATGATGGATTTGATTCGGTCAAAGATATGTTACTCTTCATATCTCGGTGGTCTAATTGCAAAAAAAAGAGCATGTTGAACGTGATCTTATATGGAGGTCTATGGTGTATATGGAATGACAGGAACCACAAGGTTTTCAAAAACATCTCCATCGTACCGGCGAAGACAGTGGATAAGATAAAATCAATAACTTTCGTATGGTGTAAACATAGATGTTCATTTAAAAACATGGACCAGAGAGTGTGGAATCCTGGTTCGTTTCTCTGTTTGTAACTTTCTTGTTCTCTTTTCCTTTCTTGTTTTTGTATTGTACTTCACCCTTGCATCGTCTTGATGTAAGGTGTTTTTTATTTATATATATTTGTCGGTTCCAAAAAAAGGATTAATTATAAGAAGTTAATTTTGGGAAAATTATATATATAACAAATACCACAAATTTATTAAAATTTATAATAAACCAAATAAATATCAATAATAATTATATTTTTTTAAAAGTCACAATTATATATATATATATATATATATATATATATATATATATATATATATATACACACACACGGTTAGATTTATATGAGATCATCATATTTTGTGAGACATGGGGACGCAATCAGAGTCATTCATTTTGGAACTAAAAAATAATATATTTTAAAATGAAAAATAAATAAAAAATTTTAAAAATAAAATATTATTTTCTTCCTTTATTTTTTCCAAAAAAAAATTAAATAATAAAAAAATTATCGTTTTTTTTTTCAAAATATACATTTCTAATAGAATATTATATTGTAAATATTCAAATCGAATTTAAGATTGTTAGAATATGCTACTAGAATATTTAACTATAAATATTAAAAAAAATTCTAATAAAATATTAGAATATTCTAACAAATCTAAAAATTGAAGTGGAATATTAGAATATTTTAACATATCTACCAATTTTAATAGAATATTAGAATATTCTAACATTCTAAAAATTTGATTTGATTACTTACAGTGTAATATTCTATTAGAATATTTCACTTATATTTAAAAAAAAAAACAGTGATTTTTTTTTAATTTTTTGGATAAATTAAATAACAAAAATAATATTTAAAAGAAAAGAATTTTTGGATTTTTCCATTTATTTTGCAATTTATAATTTATAATTTTATTTTTTTGATCTCCAAGATGAGTGGCTACGATTGCGTCTTCATGTCTCACAAAATTAACATGGTCTCAAATGAACCTCCACACACACACACACACACACACACACACACACACATATATATATATATATATATATATATATATATATATATATATATATATAACAATGATACCTTGTCAATTGTTATTGTCGGCCCAAACAACAACAATAAGGGGTCTTTGATAGTTTTTAACTAGTTTAGATTTGGCTGTGTTAGAAAAATCTGATCATCAATTTTTGATTTGTTAGAATAAATCACTCAATTGGTAAACTAAATCATCAATAGCTGATCATCGATGTTGAATGATACACACAGACACCAACACACAACCAGAAACTAAATCATTAATAGTTGTTCATCGATTTTGACTGATACACACAGGCATGAACACACAACCAGAAAACATGAACTGCATGTTTTAGCATATCATTTAACCAAAATTCGAGTTTAGGGATCAGTTGTTGCAATACAATCATCTAAGAAATACACACATATTTTATGATAAATATGCACCTAAGTCGGCAAGAAGGGTGGTCGGAGGTTGCGTGGTCGGAGTAAGACATTAGAGGAAGGGTTGTCGGAGGTTGTAGAGGTGATAACAGGGACACATGCTTTTTTCCTACATTTCTATTTTCTGTGGATTCAACGAACATATTAGGATAGAATTGGAATTGTTGTTATTTTGTGTAATGTTGTCTGTCCTTCAATTTGGGAGAGGGGACAAAATCACCCATTTTCATCGACCGAATCCATTAGTGTTGAGCGAGTCCAACACATTATAACTAAATCAAACAAATTAAACTAGATTTTTTCGACCCGGTCCACCTTTGGACCTAGTTACAAGCATTTTAAAACACACCCTTAAAAAACAATAATAAAAATAAAAAACAAACAGAGAAACTAGAAAGTGTGTTGTCACAAAAATTTAGGTCAAAACTATGTAACTTTACAAGTGAAACTTGAAGTGCTCTTATTAATTGACATTTTAGGTCCGACAAGATTTCATTTGTATCTTAGATGATTACTAGTATTTGAGCCAATGCTTTTCTGCAGGTTTTTACATGTTTTTGTTGGATATTAGGAGTAAGAATTAATTAAACCAGTGAAATTTTACAAAGTTCTAAGTTGAGGAAGTCAGAGTAACACTTCAAAAAATAAAGGGGGTGGAAAATGCTTTTTACAAAGCTAGTAGAGGAGTAAAAATCATATTATATATACCACAAGGGCGAGGGATAAACACAAAAGTACAAAAAACTAAAGGTTAAAAGTGATATTTACATAAGTTGAAGTTTGAGGGGGGTGAAAGTGATAGTATAGAAAACAACAATGTAAAAGTGATATTATATAAATTTGATTGTGGAGGGGGGTAAAAGTGATATTTTAAAAAGTAAATGAATGAAAAATATCATTTTACAAAACAGAGTGGTTGCAAGTGACAAGTTATACAAAGTTGATGCATTAAAGTTGCAGTTTACGCATTACCATATACTTGTACTAACATTTAAAAAAATAGAGGTGTGTAAAATGCATTTTACAAAGTAGATGAGGGACAATTATATTATATATGTGTTGGATTAGAGTCTAAGTCCATAACTATATTTGGTATGTACTTGACCCGTTTGAGCATGGTTCTTTTGGGTTCCCTTCACCAAAGCAACTTGATAGGATGATTTATGAAGAGAGAGGATATTATGGCTTATTAATATATTATAAGAATAATATATGTCATATTATTTAAGTAATATTAGTCATAAATTAATTAAGAATTAATTTGGTGACTAAAAGAGATTAATTAATTAAAGGGGACTGGAATTGCAATTATAAGATAATTGGATTTTGGGCTGTGAAACCCTAAGGAATAAGGGGGACGAAAATAAGGAGGTGTAGCCCATCTTATTTTCGTCCAAGGGCCTTGTTCTGGAAGGTTTTGTGGACTACTTAAGGCCTAAGCTATCCAATTAGGGTTTTGATTGAAACCCTAAGTATAAAAGGACCCCAAGAGCACCAAATTTCGGCCGCTTGATCCCTTGGAGTCTTAGAGCCGAAATTGTGCCCCTCATCCTCTCTCCAAAACTTCATCCTCTTGCCTTGGTGATTGTAACCCATTAGAGACATCGCATTTGAGTTGCTTATTCTCATAAGCTTTAAAGACACAAGATTCTTGCAACCACTTGAAGGTAACATTCTTACTAGTTATTTATGTAGATCTCAAGTTTTATAGTATGCTAGATTAAGGTTTCAAGTCTTGGATGAATTGCATGTACAATAGAGAAACCTAGATCCAAGCTTTAGGGTTTTGCATGT